AGGTTAGTCTGCTATGTACACTTTCCCAAGAAGTTGGATTTAAACTAAACCTTTTCCAAAACAGAAACAAAGATCTGGATTTTGAATGAAAGGTGTGATGGCATCAACCCTGAATCCATCATAAAAATTCAGGATGTGGAATTAATAAATACTAAACACTTCAAATATCTTGGTGCATGAATTGGTAACAACAAATTTAGCAATGTCAATAAGGAAATTAAACAGAATTCACTAGGGGGAAATTTGTTCAACACTGTATTATATGACAAAACCTAAATATTAAATTTTAAGAACTCAAGTCATGTTTTTAAATGACTCTCTTAGATCTAGACTCTCATATGGATGACATGGATGGCATTGAAGTTTCGTGTCTGACCTACCAACTACGTGTAAACATTTTCTCAGGTCAGTGATTAAAAGTGTTTAATACAGTTTGGTCTTCAAATGTCTTTAAATGAATCCTTTGCATCTTAAAAAAGACATTATAAACAATATAGATTGATGCCACAAAATGTAAGAACTTTACTGAATAAAAAAAAAACACATCACTTGGAGACTTCCAACAGCAGTAACAACAAAAATAAAAAAAAGAAACACCCATCAATACTAGAAAGAGCTATAACAGTTAGCAGACATGGGAAGTAAGTTGATTTGAGAACTTCAAGAAAGTAGATCTTTCAAGGCTACTGGTCATCATCTGATCTCAAAGACTGGCACTACAGAACCAAAAAGAACTTTGCCAGGTCACAGAAACCACATCTCTTTATGTCTTTCAACAGCAGAGAATTGAAATGAACCCTGTGAGTCTTTCAAGAGGACTGTTCATCATCAGATCTCATAGAGTGACACCACAGAATGACAAAGAATTTTACCAGATAAAAGAAGCCACATCTCTCAAACTATTCCAACAGAAATTAATTAAAATGAACCTGTGGGTCTTTCAAGACTAGTATTCATTCGTAGATCATGAACACTGACACTGGAGAATCACAAAGAAGTTTACCAGATCACAGAGACCACATCTCTTGAAGTTTTTCAACAGCAAGAAATTAAATTAAACCTGTGGCTCTTTCAAGAGAACTGTTCATCATCTGACCTCAGAGATTAACACTACAGAATCACAAACAGTTTACAGATAACAAAGAATCACAAACAGTTTACCCTGGGGATCTTTCAAGATACTGTTCATCAAATCTCGGAGACTGACACATCACAAAAATTTACCAGATCACAGAATCCAACTCTTGAAGTCTTTCAAGAATTAAAAATGAGCCCTGGGGATCCTTCAAGAGGACTGTTCATCATCAGATCTCGAGACTGACACTACAGAATCACAAAGAATTTTACCAGATCACAGAATCCACATCTCTTGAAGTCTTTCAACAGCAAGAATTAAAATGGGACTGGGGAAGAGGACTGTTCATCATCAGATCTCGAGACTGACACTACAGAATCACAAAGAATTTTACCAGATCAAATCCACATCTTTGGAAGTCTTTCAGATCCTGGGGATCCTTCAGAATTCACATCTCTTGAAGTCTTTCCAATCACAGAATCAAGAATTAAAATGAAAAAATGCCCTGGGGATCCTTCAAGAGGACTGTTCATCATCAGATCTCAGGACTGTTCAGAATCATCAGATCTCCACATCTCTTGAGACTTTCACACTTAAAATGAATCCTTCAAAATCATCAGATCTCGGAGACTTTAGAATCACAAAAGAATTTTACCAGATCACAGAATCCACATCTCTTGATCTTTCTTTAAAATGAGCCCTGGGGATCTTTCAAGAGGACTGTTCATCATCAGATCTCGGAAGAATCAAAAAATTTTACCAGATCCCTCCACATCTCTTGGGGATCTTTCAAGAGGACTGTTCATCATCAGATCTACAGAATCTGACTTTTACCCACATACAGAATCAACAAAGAATTTTTTCACTGTTCATCATCAGATCACACACTACAGAATCACAAAATTTTACCAGAATCTACATCTCTTGAAGTCTTTCAACAGCAAGAATTAAAATGAGCCCATCATCAGATCTAGGGGATCCTCACAAAGAATTTTACCAGATCACAGAATCAAGAGGAAGAATTAAAATGAGCCCTGTTTTCAAGAGGACTGTTCATCATCAGATCCTCAGAGACTGACACTACAGAATCACAAAAAATTTTACCAGATCACAGAATCCACATCTCTTGAAGTCTTTCAACAGCAAGAATTAAAATGAGCCCTGGGGATCTTTCAAGACTGACTCAGATCTCATCATCAGAATCACAAAAGAATTTTACCAGATCACATCTCTTGAATCTGGCACTGCAGAATTAAAAAGAACCCTTCCTTCAAGAGGAGCCAATCAGATCTCGGACATAAATCACAAAGAACTTTACCAAATAACATAAAACCACATTTTGAAAACTTCCAAAACCAACAGCAATTAAAATCGACAGCACATATAACATGAAAAGAAAATAATGACTTATTCAAGGTGTTGACTTTCCACACTATTTTAAATAAAAAGCTAGGACAGAAACCGCCATCAATACTAGAAAGAACTATAACAGTTAATGGATTTCAGAAACCTATTTTTATAAAAAAAACTGTTTGAAGAGAAAGATTTTATAAATTTCAACCAATATTAAAGTTAACGGTTCAGTCAGTGAATGGTGAATGTTTCCTTATAAGGAAACATCTAATCTCACGATTACCATAGCCATTATCTATCTGAGGATATTTGGGCAGTGCAATGGTTACCAACTTTGAAATTGGAATCAGAAAGCCAAGTTTAAATTCTGTGCTACTCTGTTGCATTCACTTTCACACTAACCCTCACATGAATCCATCTTTCTCCAACTCCAGACCTATTGATTAGATCACAGAGTAAACTGGAATCTCTAGCCTTGCATGGCAACAAGCCTATGAGAAGGAAAACTCTGGATTTCAAACTGTGGAGAATGCAGCAGTAAACAACTTCCCTATCTTACCCAAGAAGACATGGCAATTCCCAGATGATAAAGAAAAGGAATCTGTGGAGAGCCATGATCACCTTTTTCCTGAAAGGACATGGCATTAAAAAAGAAACATAACAACATCAGGAAGGAGGTAATATATTAAAATTCTCCCCAATCTAAAGTGAAATGTGAATGGTGGAAGATGCCTACCAGAAACTAAGCACATTATTAAGAAACAGGAAAATGTTTTTGAAAGAAACAAACGAAAATAGTGCTCAACTGTTATGTAATATCAACCCTCCTGTAAGGCAGTGGATCCTGGATAATTTGCCTCACAGATGAAGAGGAGACTTGAGGCAAGAGATGTAATTCTACAGAAGAATAATGAGAATGTCCTGGACAGAGCATGAGTTTAATGAAGAAGTTTCAAGGAAAATAGGAATGAAACAGGACAATTTTGCATCTGAAAGACATAATGAGGAAAGTGGGTTTGGAGAATCTGATACCCACAGGATATATTGAAGATAAAAGAAGCAGAGGGAAGCAGCAAGTAACCTCCATAACAAGCTTGTGTAAATAGATGGCAAAGATGGACTGGGAAGGATATTAATAAGACAAATATTGCTTAGTGCTAAAACGGATAGGAAGTTGTGGAGAGCTATGACTATCTACATCATGAACGGACACAGCACATAAAAGAAGAGGAAAACATGAATATGATATTAACATCAACATAAAACAATAAATCCAAATGATATCATGGAGTATTGCTGGGGTGCCCTGGAGAGACTGCTGCTGCTTTTGCTCTGGTAATTGGAGTAATAACTGTTGATGACATTATAAAAGGCTGTAGTGAAAAAGAAAGACAATAAAAAATAAATACAAAAGATGTAAGAGAGAGAGGGAGAGAAAGAGAGGAAGAGGAAAAGAGAGGAAGAAAGAGAGAGAGGTAGAGAGAGAGAGGGAGAGAGAGAGGGAGAGGAAGTGGGAGAGAGAGGGAGAGGAAGTGGGAGAGAGAGGGAGTGTTAGAGAGATATTACTACAAAAATAAACTGCATGTTATTTATTGTATAAAGCAAACGTGTTCAGATGTGTTGAAATCAATTTTTTTTTGTCTTCTCCCGTCTTTTATTGCCATGTGAACCAATTCAACATATGTTTCTATTTTCTTAAATTATTTAAGTTATTTGAATGAGACTAGCATAGACTAGATTTTCGTTATAAAAACGGATTCTTTAGTTTATATGAATAGATGTGAATTTCTGCATCCAGTATATATTTTTTATATTAAAAGAAATATATTTTTGAAAAAAAGAAAAACAGTTACAAGCATTATCAGATAGATAGATAGATAGATAGATAGATAGATAGATATATTAATCAGTCAATATAGATATACAGGCAGATATGAAGAAACTGAGATAGATGAAGAGTCTGATAGATAAATAGATTGATAGATAGATATGAATAGACTGAGATAGATAGATAGATAGATAGATAGATAGATAGATAGATAGATAGAGAAATATGAGCAGATTGAGATAGATAGATATGAACAGACTGAGAAAGATTGATAGATAGATAAATAGATAGATAGATATGAACAGACTGAGATAGATAGATAGATAGATAGATAGATAGATAGATAGATAGATAGATAGATGTGAAGTGTCTGAAATGTGAATTTCTGCATCCAGTATATATTTTTTATATTAAAAGAAATACACTTTTGAAAAAAAAAGAAAAACAGTTTGTTTTTTTAAGCATTTCATCTCAAGCAAGGCTTGAAGCCACTAGCATACAAGGGGTTACAGAGGATTTGGAGTGAGAGCAGATAGGAGTGATAGAGGAAAGGATGAGGAGAAGGATAGTGGATAGATCAAGGCAACTGGAGATGTCTATTGACATTACATTTGAATAGTTGGAGATTATAGCTATCAGGGAAACTGGAATAGGGAAAATAGGGAAAGGAGTTCCACAGGCGAGAGATGCGAGATATGAAGCCATTGGAGTAGAAGAGCTGGCCACATTTAACAGTTACGAGCCTTATAAGATAGATAGATAGATAGATAGATAGATAGATAGATAGATAGATAGATAGATAGATAGATAGGGTATCAACCAAGAATGAAAGATATATAGATAATTATGAATAGAATGAGATAGCTAGATACATAGATAAGGTATCAATCAGTCAAAATAGATAGATAGATAGATAGATTATGGTATCAATCAAGGTAGAAAGATATATAGATCAATATGAACAAAATAGATAGATAAGGTATCAATCGAGATATAAAGACATATACGTAGTTATGAAGAGAAGATAAAGAGATACTCTATCAATCAACATAGATATATATGAACAGAATAAATAGATAATGAAGAAATTGAGATAGATAGATAGATAGATAGATAGATAGATAGATAGATAGATATGAACAGACTGAGATAGATAGATATATTGATAGATAGATAGATAAATAGATAGATAGATAGATATGGACAGACTGAGATAGATAGATAAGGTATCAATCAGTCAAAATAGATAGATAGATAGATAGATAGATAGATAGATAGATATAGTATCAATCAAGATAGAAAGATATATAGATCAATATGAACAAAATAGAGAGATAAGGTATCAATTGAGATATAAAGACATATACGTAGTTATGAAGAGAATAAGATAGACAGATACTCTATCAATCAACATAGATATATATGAACAGAATAAATAGATAATGAAGAAATTGAGATAGATAGATAGATAGATAGATAGATAGATAGATAGATAGATAGATAGATAGATAGATACGAATAGACTGAGATAGATAGATATGATTAGACTGAGATAGATAGATACCTCATTTAGAAGTTTCCCATATAAAATAGCTAAAAAAAAAAGATTCCATTAAATTGATCAATAGATCCTGACCTGGCCGCATCTCCTGTGTTCAACTGTAAATAATCAGGTTGTAACCATATTAGCTCTTCCTGAAGCCAAATCATTTCAAACAAGAAACTAAGAACTCAGATGGAAACAAAAATAAATCCAAATATTTGACACCATCAAAAAGGGTGAAATGAATCATCATGTAGAACAGCAGAACATTGGAGTCGAGGGCATCAGGAATATGCATTCTCCAATATGCATATATATATATATATATATATATATATATATATATATATATATATATATATATATATATATATATATATATATATATATATATATATATATATATATATATATATATGTAAGAAATGTAAAATGATATAAAAATAATTAAAGGATAAATGAAAAAAAGCTAAAAAGCATAGAAGTGTTTCAGCTTTCACAAGGAAGACGTTGAGAGGATAAAAAAACATCTATTAAAAGAAGAAAGTTACTCAGACATTGTTTAAATAAAAAATTGCTATCTGGAAACCAGACAGTAAAAATGGTTTGACTAAAGTTTGATGTGTAAATCTTTGTATATGTGAGGCTCAAATTGATGTTTTTTATATAAAAAAAAAATGTGCATCTATAAAATTTTGGTTTTAAAAATTTGTAAAAAATAAGACTTAAGTCTGAAAACTTGTCAAAAGGCAAACAGATGGGGTTTAAAGTTATACATTTTGTGATTTTTTAACCAATGAGGAAAGTAATTTAGGACCCCATAGAATTAATTTTTTAATTCAATTTGGAGCCAATTTGTGACTATTTAAGAAGTCTGGTTTGTTCAACAGACAGAATGGTTTTGCCATTCACAAGCAAAACTCATTGACAGGTTCTGGCAGCCAGGCAAAGCTAAAAAGAAGAGAAGTGTTTCAGCATTCACAAGGAAGACATCGTGTATTTTAAACTATCTACTTACAATAGATAGTTTAAAATATCGAGGTTTTAACTAACAGTTTTAAATAGATTTTTAAAAAAAAAAACATTTTGACATTGATATGCAATGTAATTGGCCCTGATCTGGCATCTTATCTGCAGTTGCTCTCTCACAGATGTACTGCTGCCTCTCTCTGTCTTTTTTACAAATACTTTCATGGTAATTGTTCCAATGAGCTGCTTTCACTGGTTCCCAGACTTCATGAATTCAAGCGTCCTATAAGGCTGGCATCTCACTCACACCCTTTCACTGTCAAAACTGTTAAATTTAGCCATCTCTTTTACTCCAATAGCTTCATATCTCACACCTCTAGCCTGTGGAACTCCCTCCCCTTTTCCTGTTTCCCTGATAGCTATAATCTCCAACTATTCAAATGTAATGTCAATAGACATCTCCAGTTGCCCTGATCTATCCACTATCCTTCTCTTCATCCTTTCCTCTATCACTCCTATTTGCTCTCCCTCCAAATCCTCTGTAACCCTTTGCATGCTAGTGGCTTCCCACCTTGCTTGGGGTGAAATGCTTAAAAAAAGAAAAATACTATCAAATGAAATGCTTGTGTATGGAGAATGAAAGATAAAATAATTAGTCTTATTTCTATTGAGTGATAATTTATTATCATCAGCCACTTTTTAACAGCTTTGAGTTTAGTGCTATCTTTCCATCTATCCATCTATCAATCTATCAATCTTATAAGGCTCATAACTGTTAAATGTAGCCGTCTCTTCTACTCCAATGGCTTCATATCTCGGACCATTTTTTTTAATAGTGTTTTCGTAGATTCTGATTCACTATAAATGTTATTATCATCTGCAAATAACTAAAATTTTAGCCTTTTTGATACATTTGGTAAATTGTAAAAAATGAGAAAAAGAAGCGTGGGGGGGCAAGGACTGAAAAAGAAGGGGAGGCACAGAGTGAAAAAAGAAGGGGGCAAGGACTGAAAAAGAAGGTGGAGCCAAGGACTGAAAAAAAGCGGGGGTGCAAGGACTGAAAAAGAAGCAGGGGGTGCAAGGACTGACTGAAAAAAGAAGGGGGCCAAGGACTGAAAAAGAAGGGGGGCAAGGACTAAAAAAGAAGTGGGGGCAAGGACTGAAAAAGGAGCGGGGGCCAAGGACTGAACCCTGCGGTATACCACATGCAATCATACAGGAATTTGAATTAATATTACCAACTGAAATCAAATATGCATGATTTGAACCAGTTAAGAACATTTCCTCTGATGCCATAATGATAAACTCTTGACAATAGGATTTCACGGTTGACCATATCAAAAGCTTTTTGAAGGTCAATAAAGACCCTGTATCCAGTCTTTCCCCGACCCAATGTGTATCTTATAGCCTCAGTTATGCTTATCAAATCAATGGTCAATAGAGTGTTTGTCTTGAAATCAAATTGCAAAGAATAAATAAATTTGTCATGGTTGAGGAAAGAATAAAGACATTTGTACATTATTTTTTCAAATATTTTACTAAATACTGGTAGAAGAGAAATTGGCCTATAGTTTGATGTTAATGCTGAGTCTCCCTTTGTAAAAATAGGTATATCTTTGGCAGTTTTTAATTTAGTAGGAAAGACGCCTTGGCAGAAGGACTGAGTAATAAGTTGATCAAGTCATTGAGAAATAAAAGATTCAAGAATTTTCAATAAATTAACAGGTATACTATTGGGGCCAACCAATTTAGAAGGATTAATATTTGATATAATATCTGTAACTTCCAAATATAAAACAGGTTTAAGAAATAATGATTTTGTATATTTATTAGAGAGGTAATCAAGAGGAGATTTAGGTGTTTTGGGAGTGTCCTTTGGGAGTATTCTTTGATATATTTTCTGCAACACTAACAAAATAGTTGTTATGGTCCAGTGATAGTCCAAGGTAGAACCAAATAAGAACTCAAACACAGGTATGGAATAACACAGATATATTACAAACAGGAATATATACAGAGAAGTAGAAAGTGTTAGTATGAACAATCAGGTTTAGTAGGGAGAACAATGTAGTCTCAACCAGTATCACTATTCCAATGTCTTTCAGTAATTATCTGAACGCGACTCTGTTTCGGACTGCCTCTGACTCGACTCTTGACTCGACTTGAACTACTGACTCAACTTGAACTACTAACTGACTGATGATATTCAGTCACCCCCCCCACGAGGGTGTCATGTGGCACAAGGCCTTTTTAACGTGGGCATTCCGAGCCCGTGGGCATTCCAAGCCCGTGGGCTCGGCCAAAAATATACCCCTTTGAACCCATATAAACGGGTTCAGGGTCGGTTTACCTCCCCAAAAGAGAATCCGCCCCTCAGTGTAGCCTCCTTCAGGTTCCTCCTCACCCGAAAGCAGAGAGTTCAACCGAACAGTTGCTCAGAAAGTACTGACTCGACTGACTCCTTGCGTACTCCTGAGGCGCAGTATTTATTAAGTATGGAATAGTCCATTATTATTATTATGGGTAAGATCCCGTAACAATAGTCATTCAAGATGTTTGACATCTCAACTATGTCAGATGTAACCTTTCCATTACTGTTTTTAATATTATTGATGATATAAATGTAATGACAAAAGTACGAAGGTATAGGCTTTAAGAAAGCTTTATTCAACTGGGAATACAAGATTTGCGTATAGTGTCCTTTTATAGTCCCAATAAACAGAAATAGCTCTCTCAAAGAGGACAGTAACAAAACAAAGGGGAGATCAATCTTGATTATTCATAACAATAAGTAACAGGGTTTTTGTACCTAATGAGCGATTTTATGCCAGACCATAGTTTTTTCATATTTTGAGTGTTAGTTGAAAAATAATCATGGAAATACACTAGAACCTCTCATATCCGAAGTGGCTCATATCCAGAATCCCGCATATCCAGACATGATTTTGATGTGTATATTTAAACTATTTGGGTGATATGTAACTGATTTGAAATTTCTGTTTTTCAGGAAATTTACTTTGGATAATTGTTTATGCTTATTTCACCCTAATGGCTTGTATTGGTGCAAAAGATGATGGGAATAAGAGGAAAGGATGTCAACGAGATGCATCTGCAACAAGATAGCAATGAGATGCATGATTGGGATGAAACCTGGACTGAAATTGAAAAAGCTATTGAAAAGGTTGTCAGTTTTATGGAAAGAAAGCCAGCATTCAGGTATAACTATTGCAATAACTCATGCAGACTTAAAAAGTGTCTTTTGTTTAAAAACGAAATGTGGAAAAAGTTGAGAATGACATTAAAAGAGAAAGAATCATTATGCAACAGTGATTAAAAATCCTCATTACATTATTTGTTTTGCATACGTGGCATAATTAATTTAATGAATTTTCATTAACATTACATAATTTATTTCTTTTTCCTTAAAATCAATTCCATTATATTTCACTCACCATTAGCTTATTTTGTTTACTATAAAACATTGAAAATAAATATTAAACCTGATTTCAGTTCTTTTATTTTAATCTAAATATAACCCCTCATATCCAGGCTTTGTAACCAATTCCTCATATTCGGAAGGATTTCTTAGTCCTGGTATTGAACTCTAGTCGCAGGATCTAACCAACTTCTTTATCCACTGGGCCATGTGACCTTCATTGGATAAAGACGTTGGTTAGATCCAGTGACCCAAAGAGTTGTGACTTCAGTATCCGGAATTCCTAATATCCGGAATCCCTCATATCAGGAATCCTTCATATGCTATAAAACATTGAAAATAAATGTTAAACCTGATTTCAATTCTTTTATTTTAATCTAAAATGCCAGACCATAGTTTTTTTTTCATATTTTGAGTGTTAGCTGGAAAATAATCATGGAAATACCTCATATCTGGATTTTGTAACCAATTCCTCATATTCAAAAAGTCTTAGTCCCATTGTCAGGGATTCTACTGTTATTAGTTTTGCTTACCTTCAATTCTGTAGCCTCACAGTTTATCAGTTTTTATTATTAATTTATTATTATTTAATATTAGTTTCAGAGTTATTTTTTCTTGCCTATTGGTAGGATCTCGGATTCTCATCAATTTTTGTATTCTGTCTTTTATCCATCATTTATTCCTAAGTTAAATTTCTTTCCTGGTAAATTTCCAAATTGGTACATGCATGTTGGTTAATGATGTAATATCTCTTAGAAATTTACTATAATTACACTGGTCAACACAACTTTTGGTGCCAAGAAATAAAACATTTTTTAGCTAATTTGATGTTGCTGATTCTGAAAATGACCTTAGTTTTTCATGGTTAGCTACCATTTTTTGCTTTACTGAAATCACTCCTTTTTGGAAAAAATGATCAACTTATGATCTTGGCTGATTGCAAAATTTAGTTAATAATGGTCGTAGAAAACCGTCAGTATTCAGGTAGGCCAAGCAATTTATGTCAGCCACCTGAAATAAACTATTTTTATAAGAAAAAAGTTTTTTTGAGTTAAAATTTTCAAATAGAAGTACCAAATTTTTCCAATTTATCACGAAAATTCAAATTAACTGATAATCTTTAACAGTAATACACTTAAACCTGATAATAAAAAAAAATGTCCCAATAAACAGAAAAAAAATAAAACCCTAAAATCTTCTATTTGATATTCATAAATTTATTCCAGCACTTTATCACTTCAGTACGGTAGGAAAACAAGCACATTGAGAGCATTTTGTTTTCACAGTTGGAAAGAAACTCTAACTAAAGACATCCCAATTGAATGCACCTATTCCATTGTACATGATACTGCTGGAGTATCAAAAGGGACTTAAATAACATTGAACATGGCAGACAATCAAGAAAGAGAAAATCTTTTACCATAGTTCTTATGTTCACGAAGGTTTTATTTCTGCAGTTAGTTTATTAAATGATTTGATGAAAATACTTGTTGGTCTTGGTATATTCAATCATGTTATTTTTAAAGACTTAGGATCTGATTGTTATTGCAAAAATAGTATTTAATAAACAGACCAATATTTGTTTGTTTAAATATGAATCGAGAGGTTTCTATGATTTTATTTTGAGAAATATTGCCATCGGTCAATATCATATATACAAATACAAAAAATGCTTTTTTTCCAAAAAAGAGACATTTTTGTACAGCAAAAACAGTAGCTAACCAAGAAAAAGTAAGGTCATTTTCAGTTTTTCACCTTCAAATTAACTAAAAAAGACGTTTGGTGTCTTGACAGGATTTCAATTTTTTTTCTTTTTGTTGACCAGTGTTATTATTAACATTTTAGTCATTGTTATCCATTGTATGAAAAGTCATTTTGATGAAAATCATTAATAAACTTTCCTTCATCAAAGTTAGAGTAATTATATTTGTACCCATTGGATTTAGTATGATGAATACGTACATTTTCAAGAACAAGAAATTAAGGAAAATCATCAGAAATATGTGTTACACAGATTATGCTGGCACCACAGATATTAGTGTAAATATTAATAATAAAAGATGAAAAGTGATCAGATATTCTTGTAGGATGATGGATACATGGCAGGAAGATGTCTCAGCTAATATGGGCATGTGGCCGAGTGGTTAGAAGATCCACATTCTGAATATGAGACCCAGGTTCAAATTTCACCATGGTCGATTTGTCAGGAAGGAGACTTCCTGATGTTATCGGACTGGAGGGGGGGGGTGTCGATCCTAGCATGCGGCACATTTGGAAAGTGCCTGAAAAACTATACCACAGGTTGACCCAAGCCTTGTGAGTGAAATTGGATAGACGGAATTTTTGGGTGCCATCAAGAACTATGCTAGCATGAAGTCACAAGTCATCATGGCCGAGGGCTTGAGCATGGTGACTTTGTTCAAATTGATGATCACACTAGATAACATGCTCTTTCCCAGAAACTGTAACTAAGGTCTATTCAGCATAGTTACAGTATAAACCACAGGTGCGCTCTGTGGGTGTTACATAAACACAAATGCGCCTGAGCAAGTGTCTGCAATAAGGATTGGCTAACCGCCCTGGTAGATGGTATCCTCAAATACGAGTGACCAACTATACCTTTTCAACTTCAAAATGATAATAATCAACTTCATTTTGATTTTGGACTTATTTTCAGGTAAAAAAATTAATCAACTCCAAAATGGATTAATCAACTTCAAAATGGATCAATCAACTTCAAAATGGATCAATCAACTTCAAATTGGAAAACAAATTCAAAATAAGAAATAATCAACTTCAAATTGGATTAATCAACTTCAAATTGAGAATTAATATAATACTAATAAATTTAATATTTATTCTTTTATTTTTACTTAAAAGGGATATAAAAAAATATAAACGTTCCTAAGAAATTTATTTAAAAGATTACATCATCTAAGTTAATTACAGAGGAAAGTAATCTCTGTATTCCAGATACGAAGTTAGTGCAAGTCTCAGGGGAAATATTATTAATTGCCTCGGAGATCAACGCTTCTAACTTGCTGAGGCGGAATTCTTTAGTATTTAAAGATCCCTGGCCATCACCTCTTAAAATCCTAACAATTGAGTCTGCCATACTTCTTTTTACATCAGCTTTAATGACTGACCAAACCTTTTCAATGGGATTTAGCATCGGACTATAGGAGGGGGGGCAAGTCTGAAAATTTGGTGTTGCCTAAATTCATCCCCCTCCACAACTTCTTCAATTGAAGTATGGCAAGGGGGCGTTATCAATAACTAAGACAACTCCTCTTTCACAAATTTCATTTGCCTTTCTAATGTGACGGTTACACACCTGGCCCAGTGTCGGATCCTTTGGTTTGGGCGAAACCGACGGTGACGCCGCTCCTCCTGGTCGCTCCTCCTGGGTCCAAGCGTGCCGCCTCCAACCCTCTGGTCAGATGATCACCAGCCTCGCCTCTCCCACTCGCCCAACACCTGGTCACTAAAGCAACTGTACCGATCTCCGGGTCTGTCTACCCACGCTGTGTTTAGATCTTAGACAGACGGGACCAGCAGGGGCTAAATGATACGAGCTGAGTCCGACGGGGTGGCGAAACACAACAAAACAAAAACTCACAACACCAAACAAAATTGCTGATAAAAAAGGGTAACAACCTTTATATCTCAATGTCTATTACATAAAAAGCAAAATAGTTCTCACTTCCCTAACCCGTTCTGTGAACTATGGCACCAAGCTTCTATCACAAAAATAGCAAAAAAAATGTCGAACTACCTACTTTCTAGAATCATGTATGTATGTCGGCGTGTGGTTCAGTTCGACATTGGGCTAATTTCTATCGGTCGTTCGAGAGTTGGTTCTTCTTTTTTTGTGAACTGTATTTCTTCTTCTTCGTTTGTTTAGACTGGTAGATTTCTTGTTTCAACCCAGTGGAAGATTTCTTGCTTCGATTCAGTGGAAGATTTCTTGCTTCAATTCGGTGGAAGATTTCTTGTCTTCAACTTGGGCTGGAAGGATTTCTTGTTTCGAGGATTCTTCTGTCGTCCGAGGGTGAACTGCAACTCACGCCCAACCTAACTCCAACTTCAACCCAACTTCAGCTCCAACTGATTTCTGCCGACTGGGGTCCTGCTTATATTGACGCCGCAACAAACCGGGTGGGTCGGTCGGCGTCAGGGGTTTCTCGATAATTTCAAAAAGCCGTATTAATTTTGACTTTCCATTATCGTTATTGTTTTCACCCCTACTTTCTCACAGTGCTCTTGGGGGCGGCGCATATCTATTTCTCTTAGTCTCTCTCATGTCAGGTGATCGCTCTCAACCAATCGTTCCCGATCGAACCTTTCTTTCTCTTCTTTTCCGCAGCCTGACGTGACCGCCTCGTCCAACAGTTATTGATCGAGGTTTTCTTTCCTTCTTCTTCCGCGGTCACGTGATTGTATTCGACCAATTGTTATTGACCGAACACCCTCTCCCTTTGTTGGCGGGTGTGGTTACATCGTGCTGGTTTTAAAAAAACAAAATCCGATTTCGCACCTTTTTGCACGTACGCAAAATGACAATCCTTGCCCTCTCACCTGGACTTTGTCAAACAGCCCGCTGCTAATTAGTCTTGACTTTTAGAAAGGATCTTTTCCGCCTTCCTGGCGCCCTCCGTGGTCCAAAACAATTGCTCTTCTTTTTACCTCTTTGTTTTTCCTGATAGCCGAGAATCTTAATTATCTAGGTCGAAATATCTCTACTTTCTTAACGTGGGTGTCCAATTCTTAACAGGTCAATTCCAGATATCGTTTTCACCAGTCACTTCCCCAACCCAAAGACACTTTCTCTCTGACTAAAGTAAAATTCATTTCTATTATTCTAATTTAAAAGTTACCTTTCGTTATTTTGATAAGAATTCTTCTATTTAAAATGTCGGTCAGCGCCATTAACCGACATCTCCAATTCTATTCTTTCAACAAAAATTAAGGTCAGTCAGAGGCTCTGACCGACATCTGGTCCACACCCAGCGGCCTGTTTTGATATCATGTCTTTTCCTTTTCTTTCCCCTTTTGTTATTATCTTTCCTTTCTTCCTTTTTCCTTTCTTTCTTTTCCTTGCTTTAGGATCGTTTAGTACATTCTTAGTGAATTATTTTCAACCCAGTTATTTTCCGTTTTAAAAAAAAAAAAAAAAATTAACAACCTGTTTAATAAACTGAATAAGAAAAAATTAACTCATATTTCTATGAATATTTCCAATAAATGCAAGGTGCCATACTAAGGCACTCCCTGGTCCATTCTATCGCATCCTCTTTTTTGAAAGAACCTCTTTTAATTTTATGATGAATTAATCCATTATTACTAATACATCCAATATTTCAATTTACCAAAAAAAATATCTCAATTTGAAGTTGTTTATTCCAATTTGAAGTTGTTTATTCTCATTTTGAAGTTGATTGTTTTTAGTTTTTTGACATTTTCTCAATTTGAAGTTGATTGTTCCATTTTGAAGTTGATTGATCCAATTTGAAGTTGATTAATCCATTTTGAAGTTGATTGTTCCATTTTGAATTTGATTAATCCATTTTGGAGTTGATTAATTTTTTTATTTGAAAATAAGTCCATTTTGAAGTTGATTATTATCATTTTGAAGTTGAAAAGGTATAGTTTTTTGTTGAAGTCACTAGTGAGTTTGAATATGAATTTTTTGATGCCATAGTGTTGAAAAATTTTAAATAAGTAAAATAAAAGAATAAATAAGTAAAATAAAAGAAATACAGCTTACTAAAAATGCAAAATAAATAAATAAATATGCAGAATACAAGAAATAACGATTATTGTAGGCAAGGATCTCTCAAGAAGCCACCCAAGTATTCAGGTTTTCATTTTTTGTCTGAAATGTGCACATCTGTTGATCACTTACTGGTAACATTTGGGTGTAGTTTGCTTATCTGCGCCTATTGATTATTCAGAGACATTGTCGGCATCTTAAACCTGATCAAGATTCAAGTGTTTACTGAAAGTTTCTTTGACAAAATGCTCAGCTATCTTAACTCTGTAATACTTAAGCATCGTTGGATCAAAAGTGCATTTATGTCAATGGAGACCATATTGAAAAGTAGTGAAAAACTGTCTTGTTTCTCCAACTCCTTCTGGGTGAGCCTTAGAACATTTTGAACAATAGTCATATGAAGAAGATAGATAGATAGATAGATAGATAGATAGATAGATAGATAGATATAAGTGGACTGAGATAGATAGATAGATAGATAGATAGATAGATAGATAGATAGATAGATAGATAGAAACAGACTAAAATAGATATAAATAGATAGATGGGTGGATAAGAACAGATTTAGATAGATAGATAAATAGATAGATAGATAGTTAGATAAGAACTGACTGACAGATAGATAGATATGAATAGACTGAGATAGATAGATACATAGATGGATATAAACAGACTAAAATAGATAGATATGAACAGACTGAGATAGATTGATGGATAAAAACAGACTGAAATAGATAGATAGATAGATAGATAGATAGATAGATAGATAGATAGATAGATAGATAGATATAAGAATAGACTGAGATAGATAGATAGATAGATAGATAGATAGATAGATAGATAGATAGTGCATCTAATTCTTTTGATTATGACCATAAAATTTAAAAAAAAAAAAAAAAACTAATTAAGACATGCGTGTCCGTCAACCTTAAACAATAATCTTTGTCAATTTTATTTTTCAGTCTTTATGAGGGTCAATACTTGATCAATCTTTTACTGTTACATCCCTGGGCAACGCCGGGCTCTACTGCTAGTTTTTTTTTATAAATCTTGCCGCTTGTAGATTAGATTAACTATTCTTTTTATACCACAGTTTTTCATTGGTGGGATAAGACATGATGAATGGGGTTTGTTATAGTAGAACAACTTAACACACCCCGACAGTGATTGGTCAGTCTAAAAGAGACATGAATGAGAAAATAAAAGACATGACGAACTATTGTAGTGACAAGATAGTACTACAGACCTCCGTGACGTATCTCCCATTTTACTTATATTTACTTATATTTACAAACTTACTTATTGTACTTTTCATACAATAAAAACCTTGTTATTTGTTTTACCTAATTAGTGTTAGTGTAATCTTTCCACTCGGGATTACCTAGTTGCTTATCTCGTATTATCCATGATATAACATTGGCAAAGGAGGATTCAAAATGAACTCACAACACAATATAACAGGGTTCTAATTTGTCTACCCATGAGGGTGGATGGGCTTTTCAATCTTCCAGCATGTGTTATTGTCCTATAGCTACGTAATAATATAGGAAGAAATGTTTCTATCTTTTCTTTCTGTTGTACACATATTTTTATCCCCTAATTTTCCGCTGGTACTTCTTCTGCAAGCTTTTACCTCCACATTATCTTGCTCTCTCTCCCTAAGAGATTGTCTAAATATAGGAGATTGTGATCTTTTTCTTTTTTTCCTAGCAGTGTTACGTTTTTCACTATTAGAGTCTGTCTATATTTCTGAGATTAGGTATTATGTACATTATTTATATTATTCGGACTATTGTCCTCATCTTTGTCGCCATATTTATCACAACGATTCTATCTTCAGCAACCATTTTTACCAGTGCTCATATTGCAATTTTGCTGTTATCATTGCATGTTTTTACCAGTTGCTGAAGACATTAGGTTTATAATTTTATTATAATACCCAGAAATTCATACCCAGATGTCCTCAAGGACACATGGCACAGTGGATAAAGGCATTGATTAGATCCAGTGACAGAACCCAACGAGTGTGAGTTCAATACCTGGTTAAGGCAGTGGAGAACTTTCAGAGGGAAAATTAGCAGGAGATAACTGATAACTGACATCCATCAAACATGGCACGTGGAATTAGAACAGTCTACCCCAGCGATCGAAATAAAGGGTTCAGTTCGAAATTCCAACCACCTGAAGAAGGCTGGAGCGTACAACGGCCGAAACGTTGTGACAAATATGGCGACAAAGATGAGGACAATAGTCCGACTAATGTAAATACTGTACATAATACCTCATCTCAGAAATATAGATAAACTCAGAAAGATATATATATATATATATATATATATTACTCTTCAAATAATATTGAATTGTGTTCTATGAGCTGCTGGCATGTTTCGTATAGAGAAAGAGATTAAAATTTCCTTCCCTACTGATGATGGCCTAGAGGTAAGAGATCTGACTGATGTCAAATCAGTTGGGTTTCGATCCTGGCTTGAAGCAATTGGATGTCTAGCCACACTGAGGAGCTGTGATACAGTGAAACAATCTGTAGAATCTGTAGAAGCTATGAACATGGCATTAAAAGAATAAAATATTACAATGATGACCAATGAAATAATTACCTCATCAGTTTCTGATAATGCTTGAGGCTCATTGAGCTCAATTCTATGAGTTTTCGGGGCTATGTGGTCAGTACCCTCTTCAGTGTTAATATCCACTTCATCTTGCCCAATACTGTCATTGTCTTCAGTTTGCCCTGGGAGTTGGATGTTTCTCTCGTCTTCTTTATCTGTTTCGACACCTTTAGTCTTATCTTCAGCCAAACTCTCCTGCCCAGTAGAGGAATCCATTCCTGTTTAACTGCCAAAACAAAACATTTGCAAACACTGCAGCATCATAAATAAAAAACATGAATTGCAAGCTAAGCTATTAACATGGGGAGGGTTGGCAAACACACCAGCTAAATTGTTTAGTTAAAAACAATTAGTAAACAAATGAGTACATTGCAACACCCCCCTCCTCTGTATCTGTAGCAATTTAATTCCTGGAATGATGTCAGCATGTCACTGGGGTAATGAGTCAGGCAAACATCTAAACCCAAGCACATCATGGCATGTTCCAACATTTGTTTTCTTGAGACACACACCAGATGAGTCGGTTGTTGCCAAGCAGCAGAGGAATTTATATGTGTTCATGTTGTACTGTTTGCAGAAAATGAATGAAAGGAATTTTGAGTAGTCAATTAACATCAAGTTTTGTTCAAAAGTTTGTCATTGAATATTGCTCCCATATCTGCTCTGGTGCTTCTGCTATATATTTAAAGATTCTTGATAAAAAAAAACAAAGAAAAATTTGCAATATTATTGGTCGTGACATGGCATCTCAGTTACAGTCACTTTCCAAAATAGAAATAAAAAACAGTGTACACACAAAAAATAACTTTTATAGTAATGAGAAATTTATATAGATGTGAGCAGATTGAGATAGATAGCTAGATAGATAGGAACAGTCTTAAATAGAAACAGTCTAAGATAGATAGATAGATAGATAGATAGATAGATAGATAGATAGATAGATAGGAACAGTCTGAGATATATAAATTATTCAAACAGAATGAGATAGATACATAGATAGATACAAATGGTCTAAGAAGAAGATAGACAAATACATAGATAGATAAGTGCCTATATTTCTGAGATGAAGTATAATGTACATTATTTACATTATTCAGACTATTGTCCTCATCTTTGTTGCCATATTTATTACAACGTTTCCACCATTGTATGCTCCAGCCTTCTTCAGGTTAAGGCAGTGGAGAACATTCAGAGGGAAATAACAGGAGATAACTGATAACTGACATCCATTAAACATGGCACATGGAACTAGAACAGTCTACCCCAGTGAGTGAAATAAAGGGTTCAGTTCAACATTCCAACCCCATGAAGAAGGCCAGAGCGTACAACAGGCAAAACATTGTAATAAATATGGTAACAAAGATGAGGACAATAGTCAGAATAATGTAAATAATGTATAGATAGATAATATGAACAGTCTGAGATAGATAGATAGATAGATAGATAGATAGATAGATAGATAGATAGATAGATAGATAGATAGATAGATAGATATGAACAGTCTGAGATAGATAGATAGATAGATAGATAGATAATATAAATAGTCTGAGATAGATAGATAGATAGATAGATAGATAGATAATATGAACAGTCTGAGATAGATAGATATGAGAAGACTGAGATGGACAGTGACTTTCCGACTACCATAAAGTAGTTTCACTGTGCCTTTTCTATAAATATTTTCATGGTAATTGTTCAGATGAACTTTCCACTCTGATATCAAGACATTATGAATTTTATTAAAGTACTAGATTGGCAGCAAGGTCTAATCAATTCACTGTTGAAATGGCTGCCAGATGTAACCGAAAGTTCTATGCTAACATTTTTTTCTATTGCACTTCTTGTTTGTGGAACTCTCTTAAAAAAATTTCAATGCAATGTCAATCATTATCTTCTGTTTTCTTAATTCCTGTTCTTTTATTGTTCTCTCTCCTTAATAATGGTTTTCTTAGATTCTTTCATACTCAGTATCCCCCTTTCATCTTAGTGGCTTTATTGCCTTCCTTGGAGAGAAATGATTAAAATTTCAATGCAATGTCAATCGTTATCTTCCGCCTTCTTAATTCCTCTTCTTTTATTGTTCTCTCTCCTTAATAATGGTTTTCTTTTTCTCATTTTCTGCTGCTAGGAAAGTTGGTTCACTATGTCATGCTAGACAATTTTTCTCTCCAGAATCTATTTTGCATATTTATAAATCTACCATTCTACCATTCATTACTGTTGCCATATATGATCTGGTGCTTCTGCTATATATTCAAAGTTTCTTGATAAAATCCAAAGAATCCACAATGTTATTGATCTTGACCTGGCATCTCAGCTACAGTCAATCTTTTGCCGCACATCTCATTTGTGGAACTCTCTTCTGGCTCTATGCTTTTCAGCCAACTTTGATCTTCAAAAATTTAAATGCAGTATCAATCATTATCTACTGTCTTCTTGCTCTATAATAATGTTTTTCTTATATTCATTCACACTCATTAACCCATTGTGTTTTAGTGGCTTTCTTGCTTAAGGAAGGTCTAATAAATGCTAACCTAAAAATGAAGTTCTAATAAATGCTAACCAAAAAATGAAGGCTTAATAAATGCTAAGCTACAAATGAAGGTCTAATGAATGCTAACCTAAAAATAAATGTCTAATGAATGCTAACCTAAAAATGAAGGTCTAATAAATTCTAAGCTATAAATGAAGGTTTAATAAATGCTAACCTAAAAATGAAGGTTTAATAAATTCTAAGCTACAAATGAAGGTCTAACTGCTAAACTAAGAATGAAGGTCTGATGAAAGCTAAGCTACAAATGAAGGTCTAATAAATGCTAACCTAAAAATGAAGGACTAATAAATGAAGATCTAAAAAATACGAACCTAAAAATGAAGGTATAATGAATGCTAAGCTACAATTGAAGGTATAATGACTGCTAAACTAAAAATGAAAATCTGATGAAAGCTAACCTAAAAATGAAGGTCTAATAACTGCTAAGCTACAAATGAAGGTCTAATAAATGCTAAGCTACAAATGAAGGTCTAATAAATGCTAATCTACAATTATTTCACTATTTTCCTATTACTGCCTTCATTTTTGTAAATTTTTATTTAGTTTTAGCTTGCTACTTTTGAAATTTAAATACAATTTCAGTTGTTATCTACTGTCTTCTTGATTCCTCTTCTATTATTATTCTCACGCCATAATAATGTTTCTCTTTTCTCTTATTCTTTAAGACTCAGTAACCCCTTGAATCATAGTGGCTTTCTTGTTTCGCTTGTATTGAAATGATTTTAAAAAAAAAGAAAAGAAACATTCTATTCATCGTTGAATAATTATTATTATTACTATGTCACCAGATGAATTCAATACACAAATATTGGTGGATTGCCCATTTTTATGTAATGGACTCTTTTATTGATGTAGAAAATGTCATACCCAAATATATATGGATACACATTGTGTTTTATATGTAGGCATTGTTGTTAACTTTATATTATTCTTAATTTATAAATTAAATTTAAATATTTAAATATCTTCTGTCTTCTTAATTTCTGTTCTTTTATTGTTCTCTCTCCTTAATAATGTTTTTCTTTCCCTCATATTCTTTCACACTCAGTAACCCCTTGCATCTTAGTAGCTTTATTGCCTTGCTTGGAGAGAAATTTTTAAAATTTAAATGCAATGTCTATTGTTATCTTCTGTTTTCTTAATTCATGTTCTTTTATTGTTCTCATTCCTTAATAATTTTTTCTCAGATTCTTTCTTACTCAGTAACCCCTTATGTCTTAGTGGCTTTATTGCTTTGCTTGGAGAGAAATAATTAAGATTTAAATGCAATGTCAATCATTATATTCTGTCTTCTTAATTCCTCTTCTTTTATTGTTCTCTCTCCTTAATGATTTTTTTCTTTTTCTCATATTCTTTCACACTCAGTAATCAATTGCATCTTAGTGGCTTTATTGTCTTGCTTTGTCTGAAATGATTTTAAAAAATTAATAAAAAAGACAATGTAAATGCTACTTCTGAGTTTAATTCATTGATTTTATTTTTTGCTTATTTTCATAAAATATTTAATTGCACCAATGAGGTCTTTATAATTAATTTGATTTTAAAATTTATTAAACTAAAAGAAGTGCTAAGAAAATCAAAACCAGGAACTTAATACTAAGATATTAATCTCACAAGATTCAGAATTTTTCTTGTTTAAGCTTCCATACAAAAATAATCTAACAGTTGTGAAAACAATAAAAAAAAAAAAATATTTCTGATGATAAAATGGCATTAAAGTTAACATTTTTCAATTCTTCAAACACATTTTTATTTAATAAAATCAGATCCTCTTTTGTCATCAGAAACCGGAACAATTTCAAAATCACACTGACAAATTGAAACTAAATTTTTTAAAAATGAATATTCATTGCAAAATTTGTTCCCTGTCAAATTTGGATGAAACATTTTTATTAAATTATACAAGCACCAACTCTAAACAAAAATCATTTTCAAGTTTTACTGAATTATTTTTATTAAATTTCAGGACAAAATTTTTATTAGATTTCAGGACAATTTTTTATTTTGTAAGATTTCTGGGCCAAATTGTCTTTATAAACTATAAAAATATTCAACATTACCCCCAATTTTAAAAGTACTTACAATTTACTGAAATATGAGATAAGTGACCATTCCAAAAATATTTCTACAAAGTTTTCCCATAAGAGAACCTATTCAGTAAACATTTCATTTATTAACGAATAATGCCAAAAATTTCATTTTAATCGAATCCTTGATTCTTGTTAGTTTTGTTTTTAAACAGCGGGAATCTTTTTTTTGTTTGTTTTTTTCTTTCTTTCTTTTTTGTATCTTCTTCTTCCATTCCATTTCAAAGAAAACACATCCACCTTGGTGGCACCTACAAGTGAGGAATCAGGGAGCCAAGATCAAACTCCAGTCAAATCCATTGCATTCACTTATGTGCTAATACCTTTGGCAAAGGTACAAATCCTCTTTTCTCCCTCCTCCCCCACCCACCAGCTATGGGTAAATAGCAGGATAGACAGAGTTCTATAGTCTTGGATGGCAACTGGTCTACCACAGGAAGAAGTGGCAAAATCTGCCTCGTCAGTCATGTATCAAAAAATACATACTTGCCTAAGCATGTATCACACATGGCACATTTAACTGACTGAGGAGGCACGGTAGAGTAATCGATAGCGGCTCAGATTGAGGAATCAATTCAAATCGATTACATTCACTTACATGCTAATACCCTTGGGAAAGGTATGAATCCTCTTCTTCTCCTCCCAATTATGAGTAAGGATCAGGACAGACCGGGTTCTATAGTCTTGGATGGGATGACAACTGGTCTACCAGAGGAAGAAATGGCAAACTACTGCGGGAAAAAACCTGCCTCGTCAGTCATGTATCAAAAGATACATGATCTTCTAAGCGTGTATCATGCATGGCACATAACTGATTTGAGAGGCACGGTGGACTAATGGATAGCGGCTTGGATTGAGGAATCGGATAGCCGGATTCAAATTCCAGACAAATCCATAATATTCACTTAAATAGGACAGACTGGGTTCTATAGCCTTGGATGGCAACTGGTCTACCTCAGAATGAAACGGCAACCTACTGCGGGAAAAAATCTGCTTCGTCAGCCATGTATCAAAAGATACATGCTCGCCTAAGCGTGTATCACGCATGGCACATAACTGACTGAAGACACTTTTGGCAAGGTAAATAACTCTTGCGAACTAAATTAATATTTATCGACATAAATAAATGAATGATGAGTTATCTCCCATGGATATTGTTCCCAAAAATTCTACAAGTTTTTTAAAATATTACCAAAAATCAGGGAATTATTCGATTTAAATTAAATTTTCAACACTTATTCATTAATGAATAAATTGTACGTTGAATAGTTAATTTTTTTATAAAATATTTTACGAATATTTTATAAGGTCAGTTACCCCACCTCATAAAATATTTGACGAATATTTTATAAGGTCAGTTACCCCACCTCATTTCGATACATTGTGAATATTTTTAAATTGAAAGGAGTGATGAGCAATATTTTTTATAGTTTTAGGAAGAAAAATCCCTGAAGATATTATTTCAGTAAAAATTAAAATTGCAATATCAAATCAGGAAATTTATCCTAAAACCTTAAAAATACATGACTGATGAGGCAGGTTTTTCCCCGCAGTAGGTTGCCATTTTTTTCTATGGTAGACCAGTTGCCATCCAGGGCTATAGAACCCGGTCTGTCCTGCTATTTGCCCATAGCTGGGGAAGAGAAGAAAAGGATTCATACCTTTCCCAAGATAGAAATAATTTATAAAAAGGATTAGAAAGAAGTAAATCTATATTTTTTAAAGGTTTTATTGAAATTTTATTTAAGTTTCCACATGTCCTCCATCATTAGCAATACAAAGGGTAATACGATTTTGCAGTTCACGGAAAACATTTGCCAACTGATTTACAGTAATGCCTGAAATCACATTAGTTATCTTAGTTATAATTAAAACTAGGTACATTAAACTTTATAACATTTTTTTACAGATTATTTCTATCACAAATACAAATAAAGTAAAAAATTTTTTAAAGTGCACACGAACTTTATGGACA